GAAGATGATTGATGATAGAAATGTGACTGCTATTGTAATGCTATGCCATGAAAATGAAAACAATCAAGTAAGCAGTAAAATAAATGAACATTTTATTGAGATATTTGTCATGATTATTGTAGGAAGTTTGCTATCAGTATTGGCCTGTCAACACCAAGTGGAATGATATTAGGAGAATACAATATTATATTATTGAATGAAGAAACTTTCAATGGATATATTGAAAGAAAGTTTGAAGTTAAAAATAATAATGTAAGATATACATAATGCTACGTACATGCATGTATTAATTCTCATATAGACTGGTGCTACACAGAGTGTAACGCAATATCAGATAACAAATTGGGATTCAACTGGAAAGTTGACTAACCCTCAGACTATACTGTTGGTAATAGAAGAAATGTACAGAACACAAAGGAAAAGAGGAAACACAAGCATTGTAGTACACTGCAGGTGAGAAAGAAATCTGATTTAAATATTAATTTCAATTTCCTTCTTTATAGTGATACAGTTGGTCGTTCAGCAATGTTTTGTGCAGCTGCTACAACAATTAATAAATGTAAAACTGAAGGAGTCATTGATGTATTTCAAGTACTCAAAAGTCAACGTATTCAAAAACCAGGCAGTGTACAGACTGTTGTAAGTATTAACTATTGATTAATTTTTGGGGCATTTAGTTTTCTTGAACTGGAGCTATTGTCAAAATTAATATTTTTGTATTTTAGCAACAATATCAAGGGATATTTCAGATTGTACTGACCTACTTGGATTCATTTGAGACATATTCAAATTTCTCTGCTTAGAAATTTTTGACATGTTTTTATTTTACCGTATTTTGGTTTTATTTTTGTGATTTTAAAAATGCTAATGCTTTGGATTTTTACTTTTATTTTAATCAGCAAAATTGACTAGTAAAAAAATTCCATTTTACTTAATTATTTGATTGTACTGATAAATAGGCATGTTCTCATGTTGTATATCAATTTTGAACTGATTCCAATCAAAAGTTCAAGTTGCTCAAATATCAGACAAAAGCCCATGTACTTATAAATGCTCTACATAGTATAAGGACATCAATGTGTATCAGAAAATGTAATAAAAATTTTGGGTGATTTTAGAGCCATTTTTTGAAAAAACCATGGGCTATAGTACAGGGTATTTTTCAGAATTTTGGCATTTTCTTAAAATGGCCGTAACTTAAAAAATTGAAGCCGGGATCAGCTCAAACTTTCTGCATAGCATAAGGACATCAATGTGTATCAAAAAATGTAATAAAAATTGGAGGTGATTTTGGAGCCATTTTTTGGAAAAAACCATGGGCTATAGTACAGGGTATTTTTCAAAATTTTGGCATTTTCTTAAAATGGTCATAACTTTAAAAATTGAAGCCGGGATCAGCTCAAACTTTCTGCATAGCATAAGGACATCAATATGTATCAGAAAATGTAATAAAAAATTGGGAGTGATTTTTGAACCATTTTTTGGAAAAACCATGGGCTATAGTACAGAGATTTTTTCAGAATTTTGGCATTTTCTTAAAATGGCTGTAACTTTAAAAATTGAAGTCGGAATCAGCTCAAACATTTTAGATAGCATAGGGCATCAATATGTATCAGAAAATGTAATTAAAATTGGGAGGTGATTTTGGAGTCATTTTTTTGAAAAAAACCATGGGTACCAGGATTTTTTTCAAAAATTGAAAATTTTTAAAAATGGCTATAACTTTAAAAATTGAAGTCTGAATTGGCTCAAATGTTTTTTTTGCATAAGTGCATCAATAAGCAAAATATGTAATAAAAATTGAAGGTGATTTTGGAGCCATTTTTTGATTTTTGATGTACTACTGCTGGTTCTTTTGCCTGCTTCTTCAATTAATTTATTTCAATTAGTGTCACAAATATTAAAGCATGTACCCTCTCAAAAATAAATGTAATCAACCACTAGTAGCCAGTTGATATTTTATTAATTAAATTTAAATGAAAATTTTTTTCTGTTAATCTGCACACACAGTGCCTGATGTATAATATTATAACATTAATTGTAAATTGCTTATTTTTAGTGAATTTAATTATTATTTTGTAGTATAATTATTTTCATGATTTATCAGCATGTATTGAAAACAAGTTTGTAGCATGTGGCAGGTGAGACATTAAGTGAAAAACTTATGACAAATTAAACTGAACTTTATTGGATTAAATTGTATGGTTAAGTTTTTTGTTTTATGGCAATAATACATGATTCATTCATGACATCTTCAATTTTTCTGCACAATATAGAAGTATATAGTTATTTTTTATTGTTTAATTTAGTTTTTATTTGATATAATTATAGTTCTGGAACATCATTACTATTGTTATGATCTCTCATTATGTTGATTATGATAAACTTATTTACTGTATAAATATGCACTCAGTGTTTATACTTTCATAATGTTGTGTGTTCCAGGAAGTTAACTAAAACAACTTTATATGACCCACAGCATTTCAGACTGCAGCCACTAGACACAAGATGAAGTCATCAAATTGTATCTATTTATTGTATCAATTGTTAGTATTGTGTGGTGTCTTGTACTGTCACTAGTTCAAGCTGTAAAAGGAAGAGAAGCATTCTCTATACTAGCTAACAATAGTAAGAGAAAAATAAAATAATGTTGCCTGGTGATTATGATAATTATTAGGTGTTCAATTGTATCTACCTTATCAGGACAGAATAATACCTGATTACTTTATGATATATGCTAGCCAGTTTTACGATAAAGATGAGAATGATGATGTTAATGATACCATTGATGCTTTATGGTGTCAGAGTGCTAACAATGGTACTAATATTGGAGTGTGGTATTATCCTAATGGAACTGAAGTACCTTTATTTGATGGACTTTTTGGTAATTTATCAGCCCCTAGTCCAGTGTACAGTAAGAGATTCAGTGGTCAGATTGCACTAGCTAGAAGAGGTGGACTATCAGGATATGAAGGTTTATACAAGTGTATCATTCCTGATGAGAATGGAGTGGATCAAACACTAGTGGTTGGAGCATATACTAATACTGGATACAATAACAATGGTATGTGATGAATATAGACTATAATTAGTGTACTTCTTTTACAGATGGTCCTGATGCTGATCCTACTATGCAGTTCTCCCTCCTTTCCACTAGTAGATTAGCTACTCCTCCAGTCTTCAGTCTCAGTTTCAATGTCTCTGATGGTCCTCCTACTAATGTCAGTTGTTTAGTGAACGGGAATGGAATATCTACTGAACTGTCTCGTGTGATAGTGAATGGATCAGGATCTGTTACAAGAGTGACAGTAACAGTGAGACTGAGAGAAGCTGGTAACTATCAGTGTACTGTATTTAATATCAGAGTAACTGATGGACCTATTAGTGGTAATAGTCATCCTAATGCAGCTAGTAATACTTCATCACTAAGCATATCAGGCAAGTTAATCAATTACTATTATTCCTATCAAAAGTCTTTATTAACACTTTCAGTATTTAATACTCCAACTGGTTTAACTGCTACAAGATTAAGTACTGGTTTAGCTCATGTAAGACTCTCCTGGTCTACTGTATCAGGAGCTACTGGTTATGAGGTCTACTATCAACTGTCTAGTAATACTCCTGTTAGTGAATCCAACACTAGTTATACAACAGTCAATATAACATCAGGATTGAATCAAGAAAGTACATACACTTTCTATGTAGTATCTTATGGATCAGCTTCTCTACCTAGTGGTAATGCTTCAGTTATGTTAACAATTAGTAAGTTATTATTGTCAATAATAGAAGCAATACTTATTTTTGATTTTAGATGATCCAGTGGTTAGTGATTTTATGGCGATGGTAGATCTGATTACAAACTCCACCATTACATTAACATGGAGTCCACCAACTGCTGTAGTACCAAATAGTTATAATATTGTTAGAGATTGTAGGAGAGTATGTGAACCATCAACAACTGGTAGTAGTGAAACATCAGTTTCATCACCACATACTTCAACTGGTATACTTCCTTACAGTCAATGTGCCTTTGATCTTATTGGAGTATATGACATTAAAATTAATTTGATTACAAATTATTCAGCTGAAACACTTACAGCTAGTAAGATAATAATTGCTATAGATACCCTGGTACTTATTTGCCCTTTTCATTGCCAATCTAGCCCCTACTGCACCAGTGGGTGATATTATATTCTCATCAGTAGAGTCAGTGTCAATGACTGTCTCATGGGATGAAGTACCTTGCAATGGAAGGAATGGACCAATCACTGGATACTACCTCACATACACTAACATCACTTCAAACACTAGTTATACTGTTAATATCACTGGAGAAGACAACAGAATGTATAATCTCACAGGATTAGTACCATATACTAACTATACTGTGAGTATAATACCTTATAATTATAATATGAATGGACCAGCTAGACAAGAAATACAATTAACTGCTGAATCAAGTAAGTCAATGAGATATTGATCAGTTTAACAAGATCTTAACACAGTTCCTGGTGTGACATCTAATCTAGTATATGCAAAAAACCCAGATGCAATATCTATTGTATGGAATCCTCCTACAATACCTAATGGTATCATTACAGTATATGAGATAAGATATAGAGAGTCTACCAGTACTGGTCCATACAATATAACTAACACTACTAACACTTATTACAGTATAGTAGGATTGATACCTAATACTAGTTATACTATTGAGGTGAGAGCATATACTAGTATTGGACCAGGAGAATGGACTGATAGAGAATACACTACTATTGAAATACGTAAAAAAATTAATGAGATACTATGATGATAATGCTTTAAATTTTGTAGCTGTCATTGAAACTTTTTCTATAACAAAGCTCAATTCTACAGCAGTGAGGGCTGAGTGGAGTTTTGTTTCTGGAGCTAGTCATTATACTGTCTATTATGAGTCAACCAGTAGCTCCTTTAGAAAGAAGAGACAAGTAGAGAC